CATGGTTGGCCATATGGAAGTCCAGTGTCCTTAACCATCACATCACCTACTGGCCCCATTAAAAAAAAAAAAAAAAGATAGGTCTAACCTTGAAGCATAGTGGTAAAGGGAGTCGGAGTCTACATGGCTGTTTGGGCTTTGAAGCTCAGCCCTGGTGGCTTGAAAAGCATGCCGGGCACTTGTGTGTGCATGCCCAAAATCCCAACAGGATACGAAATGGAGAAGGAATTGTAGTGTGATGATGTCCCATTGACGGGGGTTGGGGAGGTGGGGTACCTTCTCCCTCTGTGTTTCTCTCTGACGAGCAAATGTACCTTCTGGTAATTGTAAAAAAGGAAAAAAAAAAAACATAATAAAAAGGGTAGCCAGACCACAGTGGACCTTTATAGAAAGAAACACATAGCTAGCAAAAGGAATCAGTTCAGCGAATACAATCAAATTTCAATATACTCAGCAACTACTTTGGGTGGAAAAAAATAAAAAGGAGATATGACTTGCCTGGAGTAAAGAAACCAAGAAGCTACAAATAGATGAGGGTTATACTGAGAAATAAAATATAGTCACCAGCTTCTGAAAGTGAGGCAAATTCTACTTCCCCTGTGTTCTCTAGATCAGCCAGGAGCTGTAGGAATTTTACTTACTTCTAGCCTGTCTCTACTCTTCCTTGTCCCTATTCTCAAACCCCTTCACCCCCTTCAGCCTCATGGCCTGCTTAACCTGCAGCAGGTGAGGAGCCAGGAGGTTATATCTGACCAGGGTCTCTTTGTGCTGGAAGAGGAGACTCTGCCTCCTCCCTATACCCTGAGGAGCATACTCCACAGCTACTGTCACCCCAGCATGCTCAAAGAATGTTGTCTCCCCAGTGCTCAGCATCAGGATGGTTTATGGAATTGGGAGCAGGGGAAGGAGAAACAAAGGAAAAATATCAGAGAGAAGGAAAGATAGGATGTCCAGGCTCCTTAGAGATGTTTCATTTTTCACAGTACATGAAAGAAAGAAAAGTCCTGCTCCATTCAGGCTTTGCTAGAGTGCGCATCAGAGGACTGAATGACTTGAAGTCTTTTGCCGAATAATATAAAAAGAAAATAAACAAACAGTCCTTTCCTTGAACACAGTCTACTTCTTTCTCTGCACAGCTGAGAAAATTGACCTGCCAGAGGTTGGTTGGCTTCTCAGAGTCACAAAGCAGCTAGAGGGGGGAGCCAGAAAGGGCACCTTCATCTCCTGTCTGGTCATGGCTCAGCCTTAAGATGCCTCTCTGGTCCACTGGTTTCCTTTCCTCACAGATCAGAAGGAAACTTGGGCCTCATCAAAAGCCTTTTTTCTTCCATCTGCACCATCCTGCTTCTCTGGGGACCTCAGGCCAGCCTCATCAGCCAGTCTGTCTGCGGCTGCCTATTGTCCTGTCTGAACGGTATCAGTTTCTAATCTCCCAGAGGAGCCTCTTCTTCTTAATCCAAACACTCAGGGGAATTTTAGCAGCTCAGTAAGTGAAGAGAGATGGAAACAGATCGTTGAAACCTGGAAGGCCACATTCATGTGGGTAAGTAAGAACAACTGAAGTCTCAGACTTTTGAATTGGCCGAGGGAAAATTAGAATAAGGCTGGGGCTAACCGGCTTCTATCCTTCACATCTTTTTCACCCTCGCCTCCAAATCTCCTTTTGATTTTGCTCTGGTGGAGTGTTTGTTTTTAGGACTTTTCTTTCTTCTGTGTGTCCCTTCCTTTCAAATTTTATAGGTACATGTAATATTTATGTGTCAGTGACCTTTCAAGGCAGTTTTAGAGATTTTCTGTTTACGTTTAGAAATTTTCTTTAAGGTCCACAAAGTCCTTTGTGCTTTTTCCAGGAAAGGCACTCAGTAAGAACCAAAACAAACAATTGAATAACTCAGATTTGATCGGAGCCAAATCTTCTAGGAGAGTAAGAAAAAAAAAAAAGGCATTTGTTTTTTGGTTGTTTCCCTTCCCTCCTCAACCAAATACTCGGACCATTCCTACTTCCAGTCTGGTTCAGAAGTGCTCGTGAGCTGTTTGAGGCTAAATTCTGAGCTTCGCACTGGAGAAATCTTGACACTGGGAGATTTTGCAAGGCACAATTCAGAAATGATCCAGAGAATATGAAAACAATATTTACTTTACCACGTCTCTGGGAAAACTCATGCAAGCATATCTTCTATTTGACTCTTTGACCAAAGAAGATGGAGAAGCATTAGTGCTCTGGCCAAATTCTGTGTGTCTCTCCCAGAGCTAGGGCTACATCATTTAACTTTGTGACTATTATATTTTCTCCTCCCCCTCCTACTCCTTTTTTCTTTTTTTTAAATCGCCAGATGGTGTGCGTACTCATTCAAGAAAGCACCCTTTCAAAGAGGTGTGGTGTTGAAGCAATCTTTTTCCCTCCCTTCCGTCAACTGATTAGAATTCTGGACACGTGTACTTGCTACCAGCGTGTTTTTCAAGCCACTGGGGCAGGGACTCAAACCATGGTCAGCCATGTGGGATCTGACTCTGCATAGGGCTTAAGCACTGTGCTACAGGCCGGGCCTGTTCAAACCTTATTAATGATTTGTCGGAAGCCAGTGGGATGCCTGGGGTAACTGTTTGGCACAAACCAAGCAAATGGAATCACATTTAGTTGTTTGCCTAACCCACCTCTTCCTTCCCCAAGTGTTTTGTTCTGTAAAAAGTTGTCATGGGGCTAGCAAGAGGAAAAGCTTTCTTTAGAGATGGAAAAAAAAGATCCTGATTCAGATTTTATGTCTTGCAACTACTAACGCTTTGATCGTGGGCAAGTTATTGAAGCTGTTTTTGGGTTTTAGTTTCCCTGATTGTACAATAATGATAACAATACCTTATGTAATAGTTGTGAGGGTTAAATGAGATAATGGATGTAAAAGCATCTGTATAGTTCTTGACAATTTGTCTCAATAAATATCATGCTTTTTTTTTTTCCTATTTATGCCAGAATGCTCTTTGAAATCTCTGTTGGACATCATGTTTTATAAAACAAACCTCCACTTAAAATGGAATCAAGCTGTAGATTGAGGCTAACCTACAATTTTTGGTAATTTTCCAAATGGAAATGATTTCCATGGTTCCTGCCATAGCAGTGAGGAGTTTAACTGTCTAGGACAGTGGTCACTCCGTAGTATGACTGCTGTAATCAAACCAAACCAGGGTCACTCTCCACTCAGAGTTCTGGAATCTCCATGGCATCTCAAATATTTAATAACAGAAATGACAAGTGAAAGAATCTCACAACACAATGACTATTGCACTGAAAGCTTACAGTCACGGGCTATGTGAAAGTATCTGCCCGGCTAACGAGGTGTTATCTCATGAATGCACAATACTATTAACTGCGCTCTAGTTTATTCAACTAAGTTCATAATACTATTAAGTAGCAAGGATGAAGTGTGACATTACAGAAAATGCCACATTATATATAAATTGGCTAGCTAGAAGCTAGGATGTCAAAATGTTGAAGAACCCCCCACTCTACCCATCACCCAAGCTACTGAGTAAACTCTATGATCTTCAGGGTCTGTGTGTGTGTGTGTGTGTGTGTGTGTGTGTGTGTTTAATGGCAAAAATTCACACTTAGCAAGAAAATAGTGTTTTTTTTCTTTGGGCAGACTATTTGAAAATAAATTCTTAGCATTTAAGGAATTACCAAAAAAAATATAACTTTACAATATTAAAAAAAATTCAAGAGTTTTAAAATTATTAAAAAAATTAAAACAGGAAAACTTAACAAAATAAAATGAAACCTATGTGTCAACTGAATTATGCTATTCCATTTACTAGGTAAGAATATTAGTTACCTTGAGTATGAAGACTTTTTTCCTAAAATTTTACTGCATGCATGCTTTGAAAACCATATTGCAACCCAAAAAGATACAGAACAATTACATGTAGATATAAAATTAAATGTAAATAAGATATATTATAATGAAACATAAATAATTACTGCCTTAGGAAAGGAAAAAAAAAAGTGATGCATCTCCTCTTTATGGGGGCAAAGAAATAAAATGGTCACTAACCAATAGATAAGTGTCTGTTGAATGAATAAATGAATGAATGATTGTTCCTATAGAGTTGGAACAAGAAGAAAAAGCAGGCTTTGGGACATATGAATCCTGAAGGATTTAAGTGACATCTCTTTGCTGAGAGGCCTAGGATTGAGGTGTTGGCTTTCTTGAGAGAAAGCCTCTGTTATATTTCAGCGCAAAGACACAGTTGTGTGCTCCATTTAAGGTAAAGGCCAATGACCCTGGGTTCCTTGCCAGGACCTTGAGCAACCTAAACGTTGAAAGATGAGGAGGAAAACAAAAAGGAAGTGGATTGATTTAGCAGAGACAGGGGAAGGCAAAGGGGAGCTGTCATAAACAGTATTCAAAGACTGTTGGAAGGTTACTTCTCTTAAAATACGCTTCACACAAAGAAAAAGGGATTTAAATTAGTCATAAAAAGTGTTTTTAACTGTGGTTAAAAAACCACATAACATAACTCTGCCATCTTCCTGATTTTTAAAAATATAGTATAATAGTTATAACTATATGCATTGTTGTGTGAAAAGATTTTTTGACAGTGAAGTTTGTGACCAATGTTGGATTTCACTCTCACTCTCTTTGGTAGTCTGGTTGAAGAGTATGGGATTTTCTTTTTTGAAACTTTGAAAAATGGCTTATATTCTGAGTTCCAAAAGATGGGAGGAGATGATTATCTAAGGCTCTAGCTTAACAACTCCACTGTAAGGCTGTACAGTGGCAGGCCCACCCCTGCACTGGACATGGACATACTGATGAAAGTATGTTCAAGCTGCCTTGGGCAAAATTGGAGATCCAAGGATAGTCTTTGCATTTGTTGAAAACAAACTCTAATGCTTATAAAACTGATTCTAGATCATTTGATTTCTAAGCCTGCAGGGGGTGTTATACCATTTCAGTAGAACTTGAAGCCTATGGAATATACACACAGCACGGTCCCAACTTTACCTTGGGTTTATAGGCATTCAGCATCGACATCTCTACATTTTGACCTCTGACATGCTTTGGTTGCCTCTGGACTGGTGGTGACGATGACTTCTGGTTATTGCGGCAGACACAAATGAAGAAGAAGAGTAAGGCAATGGCGAGGGGAATGGCAACGCTTGGCACCAGTATGTACAAGATTTCCATTTTATTCTTCTCCTTGGAATCCTTTGAATCTGAATACAGAAACAAAACAAAACAAAACAGAGCAGAAGTCATACTTGTTAAAATAACATGTATAATATTACATGGCATAGTTTAGATGACCTTCTTTTATTCTTCTACATACAAATCTGCCGTGAGAAAAAAGAATCCATTGCTTATTACAATTTGTTTCTATCAAACCTTCAACATAATTTATTGAAGTTTAAAAGTTTAAAGTTCAAACGTTTAAAAATCACACATGGACATTGTGAAGACTTTGTATGGGTCCCTCTCAAATGCTGCCTCTCTTTACTGGCAGACCTGCATTTCTCTAACACCTTAAAAGTTAAACGCCATGTGAATGGGCTGTATACAAGAGTGGACCACAGGGCTCTTCTTCCATTGGCTGCCAGCCCAGATCCACCAGCACACACCAGTGTTCTGGAAATCATGCCCCTTTCTTAAGGAATCCTGGTCCCGGTGTTCAAAAAGTCCCTGGGCTCTAATGAGCTCTCTGATCTTGAACAAATCATTCAGTTCTCTGGGCTACTATTTTTTTCTCCTCTGCAAAAATAAATTGTCAGTTTCTTCTTTTTTGTTTTTTTTTTGAGAGGTTTTTGCAATAGGGTACATGTGCTTGCCAGAAAGACAGAGAGAGACAGAGAAACAGAAAGCGAGAAATCACCCCCTAGGAGGGATGACCATGCCATAATCCCTTCTCCTCCATTCTCCTCTCGATATCCTGAGCATGCATACACACCCGCCCGGAGTGAGTTTAAGCCACCAGGTCTGGAACTTGAACCTCAGTCAACTACATGGGAGTCCAGTGACATAGCCATTACGCCAACTGCAGGTTCCAATTGTCAGTTTTGAATGGTGTCTACAATTGCCTTCAGCATAGCAGCACTGTACAGCTTGAAACTTCATACGAACCAAATAATTATGAGTGCTAACAGTTGGAAGTATATTTTAAAAATATTATACATCCACTTTGTTCTTGCTTGGAAAAGAATATACTATGTATAGAAGGACACAAAGCATACTTTTCTTTTTATGTTTGAGAGCGACCATTAAAACCAAATGTGTAGGGCAAATATTGTCATGAACAATGTATGTGGCTGGTAAAACAAACACAAGCATTATGAGTTTGTAATTAAAGGGGTTACATAATGACATGCCCTGATCACAAAGATCAATTGCCTTTCGTTACGAAAACCCAAAGTGTGAAAATTTAGATGGACACAAAACCCAGCGATGATTATTTACATTACAAAAGCATGACCCACGCATCCATTCATTTATCCTTCCACTCATTCGGCAAGGCAATAAACAGAAGCTACCATGTGCCAAGCACTATTCCCGATACTGGAGACAGAAATGAAACCTGACACATTCTCTCTCCTCTAGGAGCTCATGGTAAGGAAGACAGGAAAAGATAATTACAATATGTTGTAACTATTACAAAGCAAGTTTGAATATCGTGATAAAATGACCCCAAAAGTTAGTTTAAATGGTGATCTTCCCTTGAATATATAGACGAGGCTATACTATCCCTAGGTTTTACTTGCATACACCTTCTTTGGGAACCTTTTGTTCAGGTGAGATATTAATATCAGTAAAAGCAGTAATGAATTACATTTTGTCTTCTCCTCATGTAAACACACTCAGGCTGAGACATTAGAAAGAAGTACCCAAACCTAGGTGTTCAGACAGTGCTTTGTGGGTTAACCCTCAGGAGGGATTGGGAGGGGTGAAATCTGATTGCTGAGTTCAAGGAAAAAAAAAAAATTAGTATTGAGTGCTTTCTACCGGCTCAAAATCATGTTAGCTATCGTTATTACTATGGACCAGGTATTTTCCATAAACTCATTTTATTTTCATGACCCTTTCTGTGAGGTAGGTGACAGGTATCTTTATCCCTGTCTCTGTAAGTAAGGAAGCTGAGGGAACAGAGTGGTTAAGCAAATCGCCCAAGGACTCACAGCTAGTAAATCAATAGCTGGGATTCCTCCCTGCCAGTCTTGCTCTCTTCCTTTCTTTCTTTTTTATTTTTGGAGAGGTTTTTGCCACAGGGCATGCGTGCTTGCCAGACAGACAGAGAGAGACAGACAGAAAGAGCGACATCACCCCCAAGAGGGGATGGCCACACCGCAATCCTTTTTCCTCCATTCTCCTCCTGGAATCTTGGGCATGCATGCACATGCGCCTGGCATGAGTTTTAAGCCACTGGGTCCGGGACTCAAACCACAGTCGACTACGTGGGAGTCCAGCGACATAGCAATTATGCTAACTGCTGGTCCCTTGCTCTATTCCTTTCATTCTAGCTGCCGGCAATTTGAGAGGGGCTGTTGTTTTGTGCCTATTCTCTCACGGTGGGTTCCTCCTGTTTCATAGATGTACGAAGGATGTGGGGGATAATAGTGAAGCTTTTTCCAGATAGGCTGTTTCTGAACTGCCCATTTTATATATGGTGACAGGTAAATATATAACCCAGGCATCACTGGAGGCCACCCTAATCAGTGGTAGGTACTTTAGTAACAATTGTGCCTGCATGTCTGTGGATGGATGGAAAGATAGATAGATAGATAGATAGAAAGGAATCACGTGAGTGGAAGTGTCTACCAAAGGCCTACTTTATAGAGATACACACACACACACACCTATGTCTGTACACTTCAGAGACAATGTAGGAAAATAAAAAAGTATATGATTTAGAGTTAGAAACCCCTGAACACCACCATTCCTGAGCAAACTCAACTGGAAAATGGAAATGGTAATACCTAGTAACATGGGAAGTATTTATTCTAGTACCTATTAAAACTCAATCACCCAATGTTTCACCCTTAACTGTAAGAGAAGGAGATTTAGGGATAAAACTTTGGGCTAGAAATTCTAAATAACCTTAAGCAAGAAACAGCCTCTCTAAACTCCATCTCCTAATTGATCCAAACGGGAATAGTAATACCTGTTCTACCAATCTTATTCGGTTCGCATGAGAATCAAACGAGATAGTATCTGTGAAAGAACTTTGGATAGTTGAAATTGTCCTATAGTTGGATGCTGTGATTAACTTTATAAAGTATTTTTTTAGATTTCTTAGTACCCGGAGGGAAAAAAAAAATTCGGTTGTTATTCTTGGATTTTCAGTGAAATCATTAGGAGGTAATGATTACAAAAGGAATGAGGCTAGTGGAACGTTTGTCATTTTTTCAGCCTAGATTATTAGCGGCAAGACAAAGTAGGTCTCACCTGTCTGGCACACAAAGGAGTCTATTCTGTATTCATTCCCTATCAGGTTATTTATTGTAAGTGGGCAGTCTGGGACAGATCCTCCTGTAGGTCTGCAGGAGAACACACTCCAAGAAGCGAAATCCTTAACCACACTCCAACTTGACTCCTGATTACACTGAGGACATGCGAAGGAGTACAATGGGCACAATGTTTCCTTGCCAAGTAAAACAATCAAGTACAACAACGTGTGGCCATGTTGGAAGTGACAGAAAACAAATTCAAGCATATTGTAAGTCTGTGACACAAGGAACATCCTCGCCCGCACAGCTCCCTGCATTCGGCCAGAAGGGGATTCAATCTCTGGCTCAGAAACAAACAAACAAACAAACAAACATCTTAATGCAAAAATATTTCACAGAACAATTAATCTTACCAATGAAAAATTAAAAAAAAAACAAACAAATGAACAGCATCTACCCAGCCCCACACCCCCTTTTTGAGAGATTTTTGTTATAGGGTATGTGCACTCACTGGAAAGACAGAGAGATAGAGACAGAAAGTGAGAAATTATCCCATGGGGGATGGCCACACTGAAATCCCGTAATTCTCCTCTTGCATTTTGGGCATGCACGCACATGCACCCAGTGTGAGCTCTCAGCTGCTGGGTCTGGGACTAGGAATGATCGTGTGGGAGTCCAGTGCCTCAACCACTATACCACCTGCTGGCCCCTTACTCAGTCCCTTTTAAATGTTCTAGCATTGTATTCCTCATTTCATCTAGGATTTTGGTTTTATCTTGATTTTACACATAGAGAAATTGAGGTAAGAAAAGACAAATAATTTGCCAAAGCTAGAAAGTAGTAGAGTCTGGGCAGAAATGCAAGCCTGTTTGCCTTCAGTACTGATATGACTTTAAGTTATGTTACTAATAAAACTTACTCGAAAATATTATACAAACATGTTTTCAGCATTCTTAAGATTTCAAGGTACCCATTCAATGAAGACTAAAATCTGGTGGGGATCATACTATTTAAGAACTCAGACAATGGACATTATTCTAACTATTCACTTTAAAGGGTAATGAATACTTCTAATGCATTGTACAGAAAATTGGCTGAAAATTAGAACGGTGAAGACTGTTAATGCTTCGGAATAACTGTTTAAAAGTTAAATGTATGTCTTAGTTTCATCAAGTTAAATACGTGGGATTTTTGAAACCAACAATTCAGCCTGGATCACGTGATTAATATCCTTTTAAAAGTTAACAATCTGGTATCACAGTTCACATCTGACATTCCAATTTTATTTTTACATGCTATTCAATACTTTTATTAGTAATTAAATATACTGGATAAAATACTCTTTTCTTATCCTAGGGCTTACAGCAAGATAAACATGATTTCTTATTCAAAAGGTGCTTTTATAAAGTAAAAATTGATATTACTTTGAGTTAAAGTGAGAAAGCACTCCGATTGTAAAAATGGTGAAAGAGGGAAGAAATCTCATAGAATTCAATGGGAACTAAATGAGTTTAAATTACGATCTTGTCTGATAAAAAAGTTAAAAAAATAGAAACAATATAAATCACTATAGTGTATTATTTGAAAACTATAAATTAAGGAGGTCTATATCAGATAGGGGCCTATACTAGTGATATTTAAGCACATGCCAAGCCCAAGGAGAAACCCAAGGAGAAAGGGTGGTAATTAGGCGTTCAGCTGGCGTATTGGGCCCACGCATTCTTTCTCTTGGATGGAAATATCGTTGACTATTGCCTTATGAATTCTCAAATTATTTTAAG